CGTACCACCGCGTGATCGACTCTCCCACTCGCGATTGTAGCTTTTTTACAGCAGTGAAATTAAAACCACTGAACTATTCGGGTTATTTCCCCTTGGTTTCTTATCTCCCTATTTATTTCATTGTTAACAAACATTTTATAGACAAATAACGACTGCCATGTATGCAACCTAGAGGCTATACCTCTTAATGATTTTGAAAGGAAGAAAAAAAAGTGAAACCAATTCAATTATTTTTGTATTAGTTTATTTTAATTTATCAACTTTATATATTTAATGTTGAGCTAATTTTCCCCTTTCTGGGCCATAAATTAAACATAATAAAAAAATTACTATGAATAAAGATAAACATTCGGCAAAACCTTTAAAAATATGTAGCACATTAAATCTTAATAAAAGTAACCATGACAGTTTTATGGTGAATTAATTATTGCATGTGGCTACAACATTTTAGTGAAATAAAACAGTTCAGGAATACTTTTCAGTCGGATATTTTTTTATCACAATATGAAATGAAACATTTCTTTTTTCGTATATGTAATGTCAACGACATAAATGCCTTGTTCCATCGTCAATGGCTACTGTTTTGTAACTAACTTATGCAATTCATACGTAAAAATTAGGAAATGTGGTATGATTGCCAATGAGACAAGAAGTCCAAATGACGTGGATGTAACTTTACTCCCTTCAACAATGAGCAAAACCCATACCGTATAGTTATCTAGAAAAAAAACCTTGACATGACAAAATCTAAAACAATTTAAATGAAAAAACCCAACTGCCTGATTTATGACAAAACAATTATCTTACTTAAAAAAATATGACCGACAGCAACCAACGACTACCACTGATTTACAGACTCATGACTTGGAAAAGACACATATAGAATATGGCGGGATGAGTGTTCCCCCTGTTAACCTAGGACAGTTGTGTAATAGTACAAAATACATGCACTAAAAACTCTCCGTAATAAATTGTAATTTCTCCTAAATAAATTGTCATTTCCTGTCCTATTTACAATGTTGTTGGCAACCACTCGTGAACCACAAAGACTGTACATCATATTTCTATTTGACAGCAACATATAGACTAGTTTATTTTCCATAGTTCAAATTTAGATATATATATATATATATATATATATATCTCACTGCCTTTCATCGCACTTCAAAAGGGAAACGATACCAAGAGACCAAAACCAAAACCAAAAAATAGTCGGAGAAAAACTTTGGTAAATTTTAACTTATATAATTGCCTTTGGTCGTACGTCAAAAAAGGGGAGAGTATCACGGGGTCAACCAAAAGAAACACAAGAACTTTAAAGAAATATAAAGATTGAGCTACAAATGTTTAATTATTATTTTAAGAATAAAAACAGCTACCTTTAAATACGTGTTTGGTTCTATGTTTAACTGCTTTTACAATCTTATATTGCAGGACATTATGTCAAAATCATCAACGGCTCTTTCGTTTGTAGGATATAATTATACGCATACATGTATATTAGTATTTACTTTTCAAAGCACAAGTATATACAGAACAATTAAAGCTCAGGGATAGTAAACTTTTAAGGTGTCTTCCCAATTGTCCCACTTTTTGAAATTACAGGTAAAAAAGTAATGAAATTTTGTGGGACAATCGGGAATATGTTTGTGGGACAATTGGGAAGTTTAAATGTGGGACAATTGGGAATTGTTTTGATAGTGATTAATTTGTTTTTATAGTGTGTTGCAGTTAATTAAAAAGGTCACTAAACAATGTAACTTATAAAATATGAAAAAAACATGAACAAATAATAATATTTACATATTTCATTTTGCACATAGTAGGTACAATTATAGTATCATCAAACACGGAATATAATATGAAGTCATAAAATTTTAGTCTTAGATGCATATTTTTTTTAATTAGTTTTTATTGGCTTTGAACTAGCTGTCAGTAACTGCGAATACTCTCAGACCTGTTACAGTACTCAGTGTCTTTGTTGTGGTGATGCATAAGTAGCCGTCCACGTTCACTCTGTGTTTTTGTTAGATGTATTTCTGTTTGTACCCATCTGATGAGAAAAGCCTTTTTCAACTGATTTTTATAGTTTATTCTTATGTTGTACTGTTTCAACACTGTTCCAGGTTATTGTGAGGGTTGGCGCCTTCAAATAAGTTTAACCCCGCAAAATTCTGTATGTGCCTGTCCCAAGTCAGGAGCCTGGTATTCAGTGGTTGCCGTTTGTTGCTGTGTAACATATTTATTTTTCGTTCATTATTTTGTACATAAATTATGCCATTAGTTTTCTCGTTTGAATTGTTTTACATTTGCCATTTTGGGGTCTTTTATAGCTATGCAGTATGAGCTTTGCTAATTGTTGAAGGCCGTATGGTGACCTATAGTTGTTAATTTCTGTGTCATTTGGTCTCTTTGGGAGAGTTGTCTCATTAGCAATCATACCACATCTTCTCATTTTTGATGGAAGTCTGTTTCTACTTTATAGTTGGTAAAGAGTCCTGTTGACTGCAAAAGCAATGGGAATATTGGAAAAACAACCTTTAATAGTGATTCTTGGAAAGGCTGATCTGGCAAAATTATAGACATCAGCTTCGTAACAATAAAGACAGTTGTTGGGTTCAGGTGAATCTGACGTTGGGTGTAAGCAGTCTTCAATAGTGCAGAGAATGTTGTATTAATGTCCTCCGACTTCCCTAGTAAACAAGTTCATGTAGAGTGTAGAATGTAAATGAGTTTATACCTTTTTTTTTGAAATTGCATGCATTATTTCTAAATTTATTTAAAAACTTTACAGAGAAAAAGGAATTAAAATTACGGTATTGACATTTGTTTTATGAATAACGTAACATTGTAGATATATTTCATAAATCAGAAATATTATATTTTTTTAATCAAAAGTGCATTAATCTAATTAGTTAAAAAACATTTTTTTTAATACTTTTATAAAATTAATATTAAATGTGCAATAATTATTTCTTGTTTTTTTAGCAAAACAAACAACAGTTACCTTGTTTATCTAAGAACATTTTATTCATAAAATAATGTGGGACAATCAGAACTTTTCATGTGGGACAATCAGAACTCTAAAATTTTAAAAAGTGGGACAATCGGGAATAAACCACTTTTAAGTATATAATAATATTTGTGGTCAGGTCTTAAATTTGAAAATGAATGGCTAAAGAGCAGCGAAGCTTACAAAATTACAAGTTAGAAAACACATGTGTATGGGAGATAATTATTTCTAATCCGGCTTATCGTTAGATGAGGGACCATGCTTGATTAGATCAGGCATAGTTACCTGAAATGTTAAATATACCTGTCCATGATTTTATATCTAGTTTTACTTGGATCCAAAACACCGCGAAATTGGATTTCCGCTTTAATAAAACATCAAGGTTTTATTACATGAGAGCAACATCTGTAGGTCGGATAAAATATAGATTTCATACTTTAGTTTGAATAAATTATAGATTCCAAATATGTTTATTTCTGACCATAAAAACGATAAAATAGAACTTTTTCACATAGTGGATGTCAAACTGGTACAATGATATTATACCCCAGACTTCTAATCCAAAATTGACCATCAGCATGGCGAATGAACGCCCCTTTCTTATATAACACACGTTATAAGAAATATTTATTAAAATAAATATTCAATGAACTTTGAAATTTGGTCTCTTTGAAAAGCAACATCAAACGATTTTGATTCGATTTAGTTGGTATATAATTCGTTAAAACCAGTAGGATATTCATTTAGGCTGTATGCGTTTTGAACAAATTATAAAGAAATCTTCCAGCATATTTGTATATAAATGCATATTTAGAAATGCATTTTTGAATATTTGTGAAAAAAATAAAAGAAATTATTTAGTAATATTCATTATATTGTAATTTAGGTATTGAAACATCGTTAACGATACATAACAGTCCGCACAGGGTTGAAATAAACATTGAAATATACACGGGAAAGACGCAATCAACATGTTTGTATGTTAATAGTTTGTGTTACATCAATAAAATATTTATAATATCTCCTTTTAACTTTGATGAAAAAGCTCCAAATTTTGCGTCATACTTTGACACATAAGACAAATTTTGCGATACTAAATATCTTGTTATATATTTTTCTCCATTTACAATGCCGGCTAACCCATTCCCATCTGATTTTATTCCTGTTTGTTATTCTTGTGAATCTAGCCTAAGTCACAGTTTTCAGAATCGCTGTGTGTTATCTGTGTTTTATGTCATTGTTTGGTTTTGACTAAAACTGTCGCTATGAAAGTTAATTTTAATTTTAAGGAATGACTGTACTATTCTTTCTGTCTATGAAGAAATAACATCAAAAACGTGGTGCGTGGCAGGTTATATAAAAGTGTGTACCACATTTTTGAGGATATTTCGAATAGACAGAAAAATATTACAGTCATTCCTTATTATTTAATTCTAAATTCCGTTTTAAGGAGTAAATCATGAAAAAACGTTGATGACGTCACGGTCACATGACGAAATTATGTCTATGAGCTGATAGACAAAAACCTTAAAGCCAATCAGAAGACGTGTTACATCCAAAATCAAATTATTTTCAAATAGCATTGAGGAACACATATATATATCTGTCAAGACTGAGATCAGTATTTGCAGTTTTGTCCCCTTCAACAAGAATGACTTTTTAAAACTTCAAATTAAGAGAAATAATATCGTCTGCTATCGGCAGCACACAATAGTAAAAGAGAGCAGTATCCGTCATTATAATGTTGTGTAGAGATTTTTTAAAAATTGTCTGTTTTTCCTTCGACGGGTAATTATGATATAGAAGTAAAACCTAAAATTGGTCTAGGCATGAACAGGATCAGAAAAAAACAAGAGTAAATAACAGACCGGAGACCATACCACAAATAAAAAAAAACCCTAAACTGCCAAGAACTAACTTGAAAATAAATAAGTTATTTTGCCATAACAAAATTTGAAAGTTATTCTTTGTTTTCTATGATACTTACCAATTTCCTTCTTCCGCTAAAGGAGCGATTGAATTCCAGGATTAGGGTTGTCAGTTGTATATAAAATGTTATCTCAGATCTTGGTTTTTTGTAATCAAAGAATCCTTGAAACTATTCTTTTCTTGATGGTTGTATCCTGGAATTAAAATATTGTTTGCGTTATAATATTTGGTCGGTATCATGTTTTTCACTCTTAAAACACCCCACCTGAACGACCCCCTTTAAAACAAATGACTGATCCCTAAATATGTCACTCTCAATTCTTTTTGATCTCTCGGTAGATATTGTTTTGACAACTTTTATAAAACGATTCAATAAAAAAGTAGGAATTAAAAGAAAAAAAGGAAAAGAAAACATTGTTACACTAATTGTACAGTTGTAAATGATACATGAACAAGCTTATGTTTTGTCCGAACATTAATACTCTCTGTCACATCCTTCCTCTTACAAGCAGTTGACCAACCGAACATCTAGTCTGTTGTTTAAAATAATCTTTTTCTAATTTGGGAAATAAATCAAAGTAAAATACAAGGCTAAATTTTTATTAATCAAATGTTTAGAGACACCTTTTGCTCGTGTTTTTTCAGATACAATGAATTTTTTTCTCTATTGCACGTTTGTGTGATTCCGAGTCTCGTTTCGCTTGTTCTAATTAGACATTTCCTTGTCTTATGACCTATTTTAAAAGTGAAAAAGGTACATGTTCAATTAATAATTCAACTTAAATGTTTAAAACAACCACTGTTTTCTTTGTATAAAGACAGTTATGGTGAAAACGAAGTAAATCTACCTTCGTATTCAAATTTATAAACATATATCGGTCTATCAAACTTAACCCTTTTCACACAAGAAGATTTGAATATTTTTCTTATAAACTGATATTACAAAACTGCAACTCGGGTGAAGAGTTGTCTCATTGGCAATCATAACACACCATAAGATATAGTGCTATCACACATTTAAAATTAAATATATATATCACCATTAGAATAAGGTGACGTTTTATAAAATGGTTTTTCTAGAAAAAAATCCTGAAAATATAATAGAATGTACCGTAATGTCTTTTGTGGGAACATGGAAGTATTGTATTGACAATATAGTATTTCCATGGGAGTGTTACCTAATGCTGTACATTTTTATTTACCAAACTAATAGATCTATTTGAAATCTCAACAGAAATCGAAATGATCAATTGATGAGTAATTCACCACAATTAGAATTGCGAAATACATTTATAAAATGAAAGTAACAAACCACATTTCTTATAAATTATTGGAACTTACGTGCCTTGTAAATGATTCATAAAAACATGAATTAAAAAATTTAAAAGTGACATTTATTTATATTCCCCCATTTCTATATACCCCATTTACAGATCGTGATCTTCTCGCTGCTCCATTAAATTATTTTTCAAATATTATTACAGTAAAATGGAGCCTTAAATGAAAATAACATGTTACAAATTTAGTGCGTACGGAGCGCCTTTATCAGACACACTCAAATCCAAAAATGGAAGCCATGGATTTAGAAGATGTGAAAAGTTTCGCCATCAGAGATGTCAGTCATACATTGAATTTTAAACTTTTGAAAGAGTTCGCTTGAAATAGGGTTGCCATCATGAATTTATTCATTGCTTCGATGTCTGATATCACTTGAAATTTGTGATTTACTCTGTCATAGATCTCACATGACCATTTATGCTCATTTGAGTATATTTCAATTTATTCAAAGCCCATTCCTGGTCATACCACTTGCTATTGGATACAAACGTAAAATCGCATAATGAGTCTTGCAATCATAGCTGTCATGATTATCTGCTAATATTTAAAATGTCATCTCAATGGTTGTTGGTGTATTATCTATAAATACAATTAAGGTTTCCTGCTTTTAAAACAATGATTTTAAATAAAGGTTAAATTCGTAGTTTGGGTTTAGGCCATCCTTAAGAAAATAACGGTTTAGTAGAAAACTCATCCAACAGTTGCTTTTTAAAATATTATTTTCATTTCATATAATAAATAAGAGGCTGTGGTATCGTTTCCAATGACACAACTATTCATCAGAGTCCAAATGACGCAAATATAAGCAATTATAAATTACCGTAAGCCCTTCAACATCGAGAAAAACCCTTACTGTATATATATAGTCAGCTATAAAAGCATGCTTATCGTAGGTAGCTTTCGAAAATCCGTGCTGTCTCTGTATTTCAATACTTTAATACAGAAGGGTACGAAAATGACGGTAAATATCTACGACATAACCCAATATCATCATACTATTATACATTACGGAAGAATGTCATACCTAGGAAATGGGATAATGTATGAACTAGCCAGCAAACTATCGAATGACGCATAAATATGCAAATACTGAGAGAGGAGCAAAAGAAACAAACAAACCAATCAGCATTTAGTTTGTTTTTCCCATCCATCAATTTCTTTGCATTATTTTAATATAATTTAATTTAATTTTTACCTAACAATGTTTTCTTTTTTCCGATATATCTCAAACTATGCTATAATGTATAAAGAAATCAAAGTCACATTTGTACAATTTCAATAGTCATGCATGAGGTTTATCCTTAATAAATCTTATTAATCATGTACACTGTACCAAATATGTATGTGCCATGTTCTCTGACATACAATTCTAATATATGTGTGGTTAATTTTCAACGGTATTTGATCATCTTAAAGCTTACATATAATTATGGTTTAATTATATTTAAAAGATTTGTTCAATTTATGTCAAAACTTTACATATATTAAGGTACTTCCAAAGCCAAGAACAAACTTTTTGACATGATTAAGCCATTTTTGAGAAGAAGATTTTTCTATTGCGATAAGAATTTGCCACTTGTGCACTGTTTAAACATGTGTAATGCTTTCCCTTCTATTTAGGGTACGGCCAATTGATTTTCCACAAAAGGGGTGGGCGGGCAGGATGATTTTTTTCGCAGACGGAATATTCCTTTTCACGTGCTGTTGGGCCAGCTTATTTATTTTCGATTTTGTACACAATTATGTCCTGCTATATTAAATTGCATTCTGTCTTCGGTATCATTGTCATATTCTAAGTTCTTACCAGGCCCACAAATTAATTACAAAAAATCCTCCTGCCTATCCCCCGTGAATATCAAATGGTCTTTAATGGAACAGAAAGAGTACACTGTCGTGTCGTATTTTACAATGAGATTGTGAGGCAAATTAATCATTATTTTTTTTAATTTCTTTGTCCTTTACATTCTACGATTGTGTTGCTATATATTCCTGCATTCTCGTGCTTCGATGCACAATTGCAGCGTTAGTGATATCTAGAGATTTCATTTCAAACCGTAATCCGAATAATTCAGTCCCTCCCCGTGATCGACTCCCCAACTCGTGAGGGAGCCATAGCAGAGCAGCGTAATTTAACGACTGAATTATTCGGGTTACTGAAACCAGTGATAATAGAGGCTAATTTATGTCAGTAGAGATACGTTATAGTTAGTATTATAATGATGATGTTCCAGTATCTGCTAGGTATTTTTTGGAAGAAAAAGTATTCAAAATGATTGATATTATTTTTATATAAAGCTTAAATTATTACGTTTGGAAATTCGAACATTCCAATTGAATATTTATTGATTGTTAAAAATTCACGAAAGATATTCCAAGAAGTACAAAAAGATAAACTAATGAATGTGATTAAGAAGCGCCTAGCATCTCCATGCAATTTTAATAACATATAATGATAAAGCAAATTTGCATATTTATATAGACTGCACACAAAACTGGATAAATTAAAGTCGAAAATCTTTAAATTGATATTATTGTGTCTGTGTATGAACCAAATTTGAAATAACACATTATCATAAAGAAGGACAAATGAATATTTTACCATTCAAGTCTCCTGGATGTTCATTTCTCATTTTATTCTCCCGCTTTTATTGTTGGTTCTTAACAAGGTAATTTGGATTCACAATAAAATGCTTGCTATAGGTAATAAAAATGCTTTCAACGTGCGTCAGATTTCACATTATTTAATTTGTTGCCCATTTAAAAAAAAAGTTATCTATACACGAGGCATAACGTTGAATAAAATTATAAACCATCTGTTTGTCCAGGTCAAAATAGTTTATGACACTTATTGAAAAATATTGAATATGAAAAATCAATTAACAATATTCAAAACCTATTGTTATTTCTAGAATAACAACCGTTCGAAATGAATTAACCTATACAACCCTAATATTTATTTAATGCACACTCGCCTATATTTATTTATTTTCGAACACAATTAAGATTAAAATTTACTGTGAATGTTTTCACCAAAATCAATTTTATTGAATAATTATCCGTATTTCTGGACAGTGCGTAAGCGAAATTGGATCCTTTCAAAAAGTTGTCTGTCATTATTCATTCATAGCTAAATAAATGCTACAAACATCTCTTTTCAATGGTACTCGAATAATATAGTTTTGTTATTTTTTAAAGACAACATTCAAAACTTTATTGAGGGATTATTTACTTAGCGCGGATCTTTTATTGAGTGAAGAGTCATTTAGTGCAACGTGATCGCTGAACGTCTGCGACAATGACTTAGAAAGGAAATCAGGCCTCTCACAAAAATAAACATTTAATTTCTTATGACAATTCAATGCAATTATTGAAAACCTATTACTCCCACTAAAAAGTTTAGTATTAAGTAATTACTACTTTTCGTCACAAGATTAAACAAAACCTGTTTAAATTCTGCAAAATCAAAATTTCGACAAAAGATGCCGTGCTGAGTATTTTAAACTTTACAACAATGTTTGCTTTTTGCACAGGTATTGTCCAAATTATTGATTATATATACGTACACAGTACTTGAAACATTATAAATGCACTCAACAAATATTATAAAGAATATTTTAGAAATACAAATATTTTGACACTTACTGTTATAGTAATTATGCCAATAATTACTAATAAATGCAACTCAGCAACGCCATCAACAAATAATTTTATTGTATTTTACGTTAGTGCAAAGAAATTAAAAAAAAAGTCTGAAAAAGTAGCTTTAAAATGATGTGAAGAAAGTAGTAAAAAAACTTAAGGATACCAAAGTTAACTTCAAAATGGTGAAAAGAATTGGCGATACCATGATGAAAAT